ACTATTGCATGACAGAGTCAGGCATTGACTTCTATCTATCTCCTGCTCCTCAGGCTCCACATGGCCTTCCCCTCAGCTCAGCTCAGCTCAACACTGTGGCTTCCTTTTTGGCGTTGTGGTGATGGTGAGCTCACTTCAGAACACCTTGGGTTTTGCTGTAGAAAATTTTTCTACTGTCTACTTGCTTCCAGCTGGTTTCGTGTTATACAGGGACAGTTTCTCACTTTTCCCTGAGCAGTGACTACTTGGTAACTTTTAGCAAAAGGCATAAATTTAGAGGGAGTTAATACATTTAAAACTTTAAAAATTTATTCTAGTTTTAAATGTATTCATCATCTAGGAAGGTTCAAGTAATTTTTTCTTAAAATAGATTTTCAACTTACATTGATAATTTGCATAACCCTAGAATATTTTTAGTTTGTTTTCTAGAAGATGCATACATTAATTTTAATTGCTCTAGGGCAGATTTTGGCAAACTTTTTCTTAAAAGACCAGATAATAAATATTTTAGGTCTTGAGGGCCTTGGGTCTCTGTTGTAACTACTTTGCTCTGTCCCAAGCAGCCATAGGCAATATGTAAAATGAATGAGCATGAGTGAGTGTGTTCATATAATACATTAGTTACAAAAAAACCAGGACTCTAGCTGAATTTGACCTGTGGGCTGTAGGTTGCTGACCTTTGCCCTAGAGCAACAAATATGTTTTAGATGCCAAACCCCAGTAAAAACTGTGTAGCAATTTTAGCAAGAAGCCCATTTAAAAATTTTTATTTGTTTTAAAATTTATATTGTTTGTTGCTAGATAATGCATTCACATAGCTCAGCGTTTAAAAGGTATACAGAGGTATGCAGAGAAACTTCTTACCGCACCTGTGCCCCCTAACTACCTTTCCTGGAGGCAGCCCTTATCACCTTCTTGTATATCATTCCCAAAACATTGTGGCTAGGTAAGCAATAACAAATACCTTCTCTCCATTCTTTTTTTTTTTTTTTTTGGGTGGTAAAATGTATATAACATAAAATTTACCATTTTAATCACTTTTAAGTGTACGTGGCTTTAAGTGAATTGGCATTGAGTACATTCACATTGCCCTGCAACCATCTTTTTCTTAAAAACAAATGTTATTTTATATGTAATATTTTCAGTATCTTTTTTTCATATAACAATATATATGTTAAAGACCATTCCATTTTCAAACTTAAAAAAGCTTCCCCATTCTTTTTTATGGCTGCATAATGAATGGATGGATGATCATTTAGTTAGTCCTTCCCCTATTGAGGGACATGTAGATTGTTTTTAATCTTAACAGTGATGTAATGAATATTTTTGTGTAAGTACACCTTTCGGACCGCATTTTGGGAGTGGAATTCCTGGGTTAAAGAGCATATGCATTTATAATTTTGACAAATATTGCTATTTGTCATAACAATACTGTATAAACCCTCTCTGGAGGTAGTACCAAAGAACAGTCTTGGCAGCACCCTTGTTATAGGGCAGTATCAAACTTTTTATCTTTGTTTTTCAGAGGAGTGGAAAAAATAGTCTATTAGTATAGTCTTTCTTTTTTAGTATAGTCTTTTGTAATTTATTTTTAAATAAATTTAAAAAAAATTTATAATTGCTACATTTGGAAAACACAGAAAATCTCAGAGAAAACAAATATTACCCAGATTATTTTTTCCCAGGGATAACCACTGTGAATATCTTGGAATACACATATACACATGCATATGTAAATGAAAATTATGCTCTATAGACAGTTTTTCATGAGAATAACACTTTTATGATGAAAGTAATAAATGTTTATTATAAAAATTTCAGACAGTCTATAAGGTTATAAAGAATTGATTGATCGATGTTTATGCATAATCCCCAAACCTAGAAATACTATGTATGCATATTATTAGTCTGGTTTTATTTCACATTAATTTATATTAATTCAGGTTACTTTACATTAATTTGTTCTTTTAATGGTTGATTTGCGAACATCTTTTTATTTAAGAATTAGTTTTTGTTTTTTTGACCCATCTGTTCATGTCCTTTATCCATTTTTCTGTTGAATAATAGTTGATGATTTTATTTTTGATTTGTATAGGCTTTTTGTAGATACTTTTTTGTATAGGCCATGAGAACAGTTAGAAATATTTGTACTTTGTCTTACAGATTTTTTGTTTTTATGAGGTCAAATATATTAAACTTTAGCGGCTTCTGAGATTGGACTAATAGTTACTTCCTCATTGGAAGTTTATACAAGTTTATAGAAAAGTTAATAAAAAATGTTCTCATGTTTTTTTCTGGTACTTTTGAGGTTTCATTTATTTTTTAAAAATCATTAAAATATTTGATCCATTTGGTATTTATGCTGGTATAATAAAATGAGGGCTGTGGCTAACAAGTTATCCCAACACTATGCCCCACTATTGAAATGCCACCTTTGTTTACTCTTATTTCTACCTTTACTTACTGTATTTCTGCATGTATTTGGATCTCTTTCTGGATTCTCTTTTTTTCCATTGATCCATCTGTCTATATATTTGCTTATACAATTCTATTTTAATTCTGTATCTTTATAATTTTTAAATACTTGATAGTACCCCCTTTTGTTCTTTTTTTTTTTTCTTCCAGATTTCCTGGCTATTAATTTTAAAATCTTTAAAAATAGCTTTTATCTAGTTCCAGAGCTATTCATTTATCATTTTATTAGCATTGCATTATTTTTATAAATTTACCCAGGGAGAAATGACATCCTTATGATAATGACTTGCTATCCAAGACTAAGGTATACCTTACCATTGACTTAAGTCTCTGTGTCCTTCAAATAGTATTTAAAATTTTTCTTCATAGGATCTTGCTTGTTTTATTCTTAGATAGTTTATCTTTTCTGTTATTCTTGTTAATTCTCAATTTAAACTTTTTAAAAATGAGTGATGTATTTTAGCCAGACCCACATGAAGGAAGTTATTTTGAAATTTTTCAACTTGGTTGTATTTGATTCAGTTGTGGTGCATCCTAGTTCTCAAGACACTTATAGTCATTGGTGAGAGAGACTTTATCATTCTTATTATATTTTGTGCTACTAACTGCCTTTGTTGTTGTGCCCTCTTCTGAGCCTTAATTTCCTCATTGGAAATTGAAGAATCTGAATCAGAGCTTATATGAAGTCTCTCTTCCAGCTCTGCCCCTGTTGATTATGATATGATCAGCTTTCTAGAGGGTTTGTATCTGCCCACGAAAGCACTCTTGATGCCAGGTACTATCTGACTCCAAGTGGCCGAAGACTGTCTTAGCTTTGGCCTTTTTGTCCCTTTTGGCCAGTCTGTGGCCAAATCACCTAATGCCACATACACTTAAAAATGGTTAAAATGATAAATTTTATGTTATATATGTTTTACCTTCATCCCATGTCAGGAAGCTCTGAGCTGTTCACTTTCCAGAGCTCTCTGTTTGGTTGAGTATTTCAAGCTTTAGGGCCCTAGTTTGGAATTGCTTCAGTTATCTTACTATCTTTTGCCATCTGCTTTTCTTTCCATTTCCTCCTCTGGGCCCTTAGCCCTCAGGCTTACTATCCTTAGGACGCCCTCATCGTCTGCTCCTTCCTTTCCCTCTGTGCCTCCTGCTCTTCTCTTCCCTCTCCCCCTTCA